TATTTAAGGGAATTGAAGCGGACAAGTTTTAAGAAGTTTTATATTGGCAATAATTAAGAAAAAATGGGTTTTAATAAATTTCGACCATGTCAACATATTAACAAATTCATTTTTGAAAGCTTCAAATTATATTATTATAATTTGAATATTATACTAAGCCTATATATTTTTTTTTGAATGATTAAACGCCATTATGGTAGTAATTTAGAACTAAACGCCTTATAAATTAAGCATACTTAATGGTCTGATTTAAATACTGTAAAGTGATTTGAGATTTTTGGTTACTTTACAAGATTATGTAAAAACCCGATTTTCATTTATAAAATTTCCATTTTTTTTATAAAAAAAAATAAATTAGAACATTTTGCAATATCAAAAAACAATTATTTTTCATAAAAAAAGTAAAAAATCAAACATCCGTTTCCTACATAACCCAGTCAATGGTCAAAGAACTCGAATCGCTTTACAGAATTAAAAAATTAAAATTTAACTATCCTAAGTAATTGAAATTTCAACAGGCTTTTTGGCTAAAACGTCAAAAAACAGACCGCTTTAAATCCTCTTAAATACTTCTATAATATAGTATTTAGCCGCATAGTATAAAATATATATATATATATAGTACTAAACCAGAGTACAGTTTGAAATTTATAATAGTTTTTTAATACTTTTAGTCGATTAAGTAAATCAGAAAAACAAAAACTACTAATAGGTATATTTGTACTTAACACGGCGTTTTGTGTATGCAATACTGATACATCAATTAATTAGGTCTCGTCCAACTTGTACATAAAACTGTATACCTCGCACAGGACAAAACAAATTATTATATTATATCGCTATTTAAGCTAACTTTTTATATGCTTAAAACCATTTCTCGACAAATATAAGTATATTCTAGTTATTGATAATATTATTTTACTATTAAACCTAAAGTATAATAACATGTAATAGGTAATCAATCAGGTTCACCAAGAAATGTTTTTTTTTTGATATTATTGGTTAAGTACTTATCATATCAACGAGTGTATATGCTTCATAACAACTGATAAACAAATCTGTAATATAAAAATAATTAATGATGTACTAATGTATACGAATGGTAACAAAAATGATTCTAAAAAAAGCATTCTACGATAGGTTAAGATAATATAAAAGTGCTACTACAGTGGGTTATTAGAAAAATATACCTGCTAAACAATGTATAAGTATATATTTTTTTCTATAAAATGGTATTTATTTACAAAAACCTACTTTTTTTTATTGTATTGTGTTCTTGCGTTATTGTTCTGGTACAATGGAGTACGAGTTGACAAAAGACATATTTTGTGCATGTATTGTATTATTTGAAATCGTTGATGAATTTAACAAAAGTTTTGTTACGTTGAAAATTGTACAGTTTCAACAAACGTCAAATTACATTTTTTAAATGCCTCAACGAATAATATATGCTGACTGAATGAATTTATGCACCACATTTATCCAAATCTAATCAGTGTAAAAAAAAAAAATAGTATAGTTTTAAAACGATGAAAATATGAATGTTATTAATTAAATGATAGTTTACATATGTATATAATATAAATTATATGTATAAAAATACACATAGTTGTTATTTCGTAGTGGAGGTATTTCGTTTAATTTTGTGTAAAACGACTAACGAGTAATACTATTATTTAACTACACAATTTCAAACATTTTATATTTAAACAAAAGTTAACGATTCAACCTAAATACATCTCATAACTGACGTGCAGTGCCTATATAAAGGACGTGTTGAGTGTGTTCACTTAAAATCCGTAGGAATCGGATGACATCGATATATCGAGTGACCCGCATTGTACTTGACCTATAATCTTATGAATTTTCAATAGCGCATTGCATTGTTTAAGAACCGTCAAAAAAGTTAACCGTGTTTACCTTTTAGTGGTTTTTAAACAATATATTCTGAATGACGATTAAGAGTAACTGCCGCTGTCACATACTTTAAATGTGTTCAATATACGCCGCTGAATTAAATATTTTTATACAATGTCCGCCTTTGATAATGTAGAATACACCCATTGTATTGGTAATGTATAATTCAACAGATATATTTTATTAATGTGAGGGATGATCAATTGGACAAAAGTTCAAGTCATAACGGCCTAAACATATGAAAAATGTATATAAAACATATACGTTCATGTATCGGAAAAGTCTTTATAACCTAAATGTAATATAACCTAGAACCTAAACAAGAATCTAATCAATTCATTTCAACTATTATAGATCTGTACGGCCTTACATCTACCAGCTTTTTGTTGAAAAACATATTTTTGTTTTAAAGTTACTTAAGAAAAAAAACACATTGATACTTGAATAAAGTTAATTATAAAGTTATAAAGTTATAGCATTATTTATATTCAGCAATATTAACAGGCAATAGTTAAAGATCACAAGAACCGGTCCATTTAAAATTCCGACCAGATCAAATGATAAATTTACTTAACTTATCAACGTGAGCAATATAGGTGCAATTTTTAAAAAAACGTTAGTAATTTCAAACGTAAATCTTTTTAATTTTAGTATTCCTAGTTTATTAACATTGATTTCATCAATACGGTTTGAGAAAACTGTTAGGGGTATAACATATGTGAATCCACATTTTAAACATTGCTTCTAGTCATTGACTTGAAAAAACAATACAGTTCTACAAGAGTAGGATAACTCACTTAAAAGATCTGGATTTGTTGTGCACACAAAAACAATCTGAACAAATACAAAACAGATTCAATGGTGTATTAGTCTTAGCGTTTGTGAAAATTGGTTGTTGTAAGAAGTATTTTTTATTTACTAACCGCTTGGAACTTAACACTGTTTTTAAATTAAACAAATTTTATATTTGATTTGCCCAGAAAAATAAAACACAGTATGTTTCTTTGAGGGCGAAGCACTATTTTACTTTGTGATTATATTTTGCTCGTATCTTAATGTTCATGTGTGAGCGTGTATTTGTGACTTATCAATGAAAAATAAATACTGTTTCTTCTCTTTAGTTAAACTTAATAAAAGTTTTTTTTTTTTAGTTTCGAATTATATTTGTATTAATTATCTAATTAAAAATCAAGAATCGTTTAAAAAAAAAAGGTCTGACTCATCGCCAATAAATGAAAACTTATACATTTTCTCAGAAGCCATATTTGGTGAACTGGAAATATAATCGTTTTTAACGGCCACGTTTCACCCACATTTGCCCTAAAACATTTTTTTTTTTTTTTTTTGAAAATAGAAATGTCTTTATTATATTATATTTACATCTATAGAAAATATATGCACAACAGTAAATGGGTAAACAGTAAAAAAAAGAAAATTAATAATATAGCTTGAAAAACATGCAGTAGGGGGGCACCCAATGGAGCAACCTACTTTGAATTTTGAGTTTGTTTATCTAATATTTATTTTTAATTTTTTTTCAATTTTATAATTTATTGGAGGTCTCTACACCATTTCCTTTTTAATCTTCTTGGCGGATTATCAGGGATATGATTAGAATAGAAGTAGCGTATATTAGGGTTAGGGTGAGAGATGAATTTATTATGAAGTTTTTGGTAGGCAGTTTTGGCGATATTGTTTACAGAACTGATTTTTAAAAAAAAAATTTTTTTGGAAAGTTACAATCATTTAAAAATGTTAAAATAGTCGTTATCTCTAAGCTATGTATTGAGCGTTATACTCAGAATAATGAAGAAAACGCACAGTCTCGCCCTTTGAAATATTGTTCTCTTTTAATTTTTACAATGGGTGCTTTTACTCTAAAACCAAAATTAAGCAAGTTAAGCAAGTCTGCTTAAACAAGTTGAGATAAAAAAACATTTTTAAGTCGCTTTCAAGGATGCTGTGATAGTCCAAAAAATAAATTAACTACCAAAATGGAGTCCTAGTTATTGAACTAATAATGACATATCACAGTTAAACCTTTAAATTAAGATTTCGTAAAAATTGCCTATACTTTACTCCTTAAAAATGGGCGGTGCGACGCCCTCTTAAATGTAGTCAAAGAAATATTTTATCAGTACTCGTTTAACTAATTATTTTTTTTTTGTAATTTCTATTATAGCTTATAAAATTAAAATCAATTATTACAAACAAAACTGTTTGTTTATGTATAACCTATATCATACATTCTTTATTAAATCAATTTTTGTAGCCACATTAAAATCAATTTTTCACGCATAAGTATTCATATAATTGTTGCTTGGTAATAAGTCAATTGTTTTTACTTTTATACATAAATTTACTCAACCCTGACACAATAATATATCAAAAGTATACTCCATACAAATTTAGAACTAATACTATTTTTGGAAAAGTCAAAACGCACCGTAGTCTTATGTTAAAACCTAATATGTGCATTTTTTTAGCGGGTTATTTTCGATTTTGAAAGGGAACGAATGAACTTTTAAAATTGTTTGCCCAATGAAGTACGTTTTGTGTACGATTTGTGTTCTGTAAACTAGTTCCGTGAAGCGGTTGGTTCAGATCTTAAAGATATACAGAGTGGTTCATTAAAGATAAGACACTCATTTAAAAAAAAAAAAAAAGGAATTGTTATTTTCTAGTTTATATTTGAAGAAAATGTTGCTTATGTCATTTTACGTTAATATAAAATTACTGTAGATTTAGTATTTTCCAGAGTTCTGTCGACTTTTGAAAGTCAATAGGTATAATTTCAAAAAACACTACCTTCTCCTCTGGCTTTGAAGGTAAACGAAAAACGGCGAACAATTGTCCGGAGTTAAACGATTCTAGGTTTGTTTTATATATTTTTTTTTTTTTACTCTGGTTTTATTTTAATTATTGTATCTTATGTACTTGTGTAGTGTTTTTTTTTTTTTTTTTGAATATTATTATTTCACCCCAAAGTATTCGACGCGGTTGCGACACACCGGCTGCGCTGGATACCCGACCGGCTGTTTAACGTTGTCGGTCTGCCGAGGAAACACAGTGTACGCGTGCAAACCGCCACCGACCAAACGTCTAGTGCGTGCGATTCGACCGCCCGGCAGTCATCCGATTTTGAACCGTTAAAGTTTTCAACAACAACACATACCTACCACTTGGGTAGCCGCCGGTCAAAGTCAGCCTAACCCGCCGGACCGTATACGCATAACGTTGATATTTTTCATCCGGAACACACTGGACTGATCATGCCGATTTATGGCCCTTTAAGGTATTGTTATTATTTCAACGTACTAACAGCGTTTTGGTTGATTTTTTCGGAATCGTCGGGAAACTCTTGCGTACCTGTTGCTGGAGTTTGTTTTGTGTTATATTCGACAATCGGTGAAAAAATACAAGAAGAAAAATATAGTCATAGATAAACACATAGGAAATAGAAAAAATAGACTAAGTGGTTTTATTTCAACGGAAAATTTTTTTTTTAGAATTTTTGAAAAACGCTTAATCGAAAAAAATCGAATGAACTCGTTTTCTTTAAAAATATTTTTTGAAAAACAAAGATATTTTTCATTGTGACAACCAGACAAAACTATTTTCTGAAAAGTATCACGAAATTAGTTTTTTCCTTAACATTGGAGTAGATAGGACAAATAATTGTATTTTTACCCCTCTGAAAAATTAAAGTATTTAAATTTCATACATACAATAATATACTACATTTAGTTAGTATCAAATATTAGTTGTAGTTAACTTTTTTTTATAAAATATATCATGTACTTGTACATGTATGAGTTGGCCGTTCTAATTTAAAAGGTCAAAATTAAAAAAAAAATCCAACACCACGTTCAAAACGACTGTGGTTAGTAATTTGACTAACACGAGATTTAGTTAAAAATCTTTTATGGATTTTTTCCAGATTGTCAAACAAATGTACAGCGTTTTCAAAAATAAATTTACTGCTACTTGTAATTACATTAGTATATAGGCTCGCTATATGCATAAAGAATGAATTATGCATAACTTGACAACTTAAACTCTTCTTTTATTGCCGAGCTCACCACTTCAAATATAAATATTTAATTTGAATTTAAATAAAACATTAATCAAAATCAATTAGTCATAATTTCACACTTTTACTGTTGATATCCCACCGGTGTTTAAAAGTGATGCCAGTCATATTATGACTGACTTTTTGTCTATGTATCGTTCCATGCACGAGTTTGCGTATAACTTCTTACGTTAATGTCTAAACACTGAAGTACTGCAAGATCTGGCCTAGGTCAGAGTGTGCGACCGTAGTATGATTAGAATCTCATTGATAGTTCTATCGAGTTCAACTTTTTTTTGACTAGGTTGATGTCGTGCATGGGAAAATTGACTCCAAGTTCAAGCTCATCCACGTTTTTATCTGAATGAAAATAAACCGATCTTCCGAACGAGTCGATTAGAAACCGAAGCAGCAATTTCAATAGTATCATGCGTGTCTCGGCCTAACGGTCTAGTCGACAAAACGACATTGTAAAAAGTTGTAGTCAAATAATAAAACCATTGATAAAACCACTAATAATAAAAAAAAATCCTAGAGTAAAATGCTAATAACATATTGTTAAATTGTTTTAGGAAAAATTGCATTCACCTATATCCGGTACGTTAATTCGGAATTGTGTTATTCAGCTAAAGGCTCACTCAATGAAGTGTAGAAATCACATAATAATAATAATAATAGTAGATATAATAAACGGATAATACCATCAATATAACCAAATTATCTCTTGTAGCGGCTCTACAATGTAAACTATTTGCCAATAAACAACAAGATCATTATTATTATTAAATTATTATAATTTACCATGGGCTATGGTAATATTTCATGGCGCTCGCAAATGTTCTTAATTCGATCTACTCGTTTTTTTAATCGCTGATTGTATGCATGCTACAAACGGATACAGACAATTGAGTTTGTTGAATTTGCAGTAATTCACACTTCAGTTCAAATTTAATGTGTGCTTGTAAACAAATGAATAACAGCTTATTCCAAACATTCGTGAAAGATTTTTATAGAGCTAGTGCAGCTATCGCAATATAATGCTGGTGTTACAATAGTTTACGTAGTTCATTAAAATGATAAATTTTTCAAATTTGAAGCATGATTATATTAGATTAGGTTGACAGGTGACCCAGAAATATTGTAATTTCAATGTATTTTTCGTTATTTGTATAACGCGCTATGTCAACATTAATGGTGCAATATTATTTTTGGGTTTTATCAAAATACAAGTCAACCTTTCAGACAACAAACACACCTAGTGCCCTAATAAACTTTAGGTTATGTCGTAGGTATAGACACGATATACCTATGTATTTTAATCCTCAAGGATTCGGGTCATTATTTTTCTTTTTTTTTGCGCACCTTAGCACTTTTTACTATATTTTTTTTTTTTACATCATACCGACCCAAGTTAAAGTAAATGCAATCGACAGCTCAATTGTTAAAGTGTTCTTTTTCAGTACCTACTCTTAATATTTAAAAAAAAATGGGCTATTACATTAATAAAACAAATAAGCCTGGAACACAAACAATTCACGTTTTGAAAATCATTAATAAATTCATGACACCTTTAATAACGAATACATTATTTGCTCAATTTTAAATCAACAGACAACATTCCACAGGCGCTGTTGACAAAGTACATAGCATTACATAAACGATACAAATAGTATTGCGGCAACGCACTGTTAGAATTAACACGCGAAATTGTATAAAGTCGTTCGTGCAGTAGCTCAAGTAAGAAAAGTTTTTTTTTTACAAAAGTATTCGGTCGAAAGTGAAAAATACATCTTAACTGTAACAATTTACTGTGTACCAAGTTTGAAGCTAAAATCGCATGTGTACAATTCACGTGTAGAGTCTATTATTGTTAACTATCAAATTATTGGTTTATATTTTGTCCATTGTAGACTTACAACAAAATGAACAATATTGCAATCGGAGTGAACACAAACCGAATGGAAAACGAATATAGGAACAAAATTTTGGTACAAAATCTACCAAAGTCAAAACGTGTATTAAGTTCTGTAAGGATCATCGTTAAACGTAATGGCATACGCACGGGTTCAACTGAACGCGTTATTGTTTTTTTTTTTTTAGTATTTTATTGCATGATTCAATATTTACCTGCCCGACGTGACTCGTGTCTGTATAAACGTATACAAACATTACACTCTAGAATAGATACTACCACGGACAACTTGGGAGTTGGGACAAAATAAATATATATATATGTATAAAAAAGTTTCCCATCGGAACACTAGTGGGGTCTTAATAACAATATTATAGTGATATAATATTATAGTATATTTCAATGTTCATCTCTTCCCTCTTAACAAAAAAAAAACCGTTTTTTTAACTCTATTCGTAGACTCGATTTGTTATTTTATGTTCATCGCATTTTATTTAATATGTTAGCAGTGGACATTGTGTTCTGCAAAGGTCAAATGACTTCACATCATCCGTTCGTTTATCCGTTCAAAAAATCACAGTGTAAAAATGTCCAGTGCGTCACTATTTATGAGGAGCGTACTTCCGAGAACCCTAAAAAAAAAAAAAAAACAATTTCTATCTCTCGAAACACTTAGTAATTTCGTTTAGAGGAAAATACTGTTGGCTAATTTGTTTTCACTCGACTATAATAAAAATACCTATAGTACAGTGTATCGCAAATCGCAATAGACCATGCAGTTTGAAAGGTGTTTGAACTATTTATCGTCCTACGAGCTGTATTAATTGTTTGTTCATTTCATAAGTTGTCATTGCCGATTTCACAACAATTCTGTACCTCAGGTCTAGAAGAGCCAATCTCGTGTATACTAACTTACTGGACTAACGTCGGTTTTTTGACATTTCCGGGGCGATCAGTTTTTCTCTCGTATAGAAAGTCATATTGACTCGAAACCATTACATTGTACTTGAATTCTTATATTGTATGTTTCGATATTTGCCATTACATCGAATAAGTTATACGAGACAATGAGTTTGTAAAATAAGTTAAGAAATAAAAAAAAAATTCTACGAATAATACTTTTTTACTCTACAAAACTAAATAACTCTATCTGCACTAATTTTTTATATTAATCATTCAAAATAAATGATAATTTTGTTTTGTTTTTGTAAAAGATACTTTATATTACTTTAGTAATAGTATTATATGTAGTACATTTATATGTACCGATAAAATACACTTTTACAATAACCCAAATTATTTTATTGTTATAAAAAGTTAGAGCAACAAAATTAGTCCTACAAAATCTTAAAAGTTACATTAAATTGACTTTTAATGACCAACAGAACTATTTTTCCTTCCTTAAATAGCTTAAAAACAAGTTTTTTTTCTAAATGATAGTAAGCTTAAAAGATGTGCATTAATAAATTTTAAGTGTAGTTAGTGGAAAGAAAACGGAAATCGTCACTTTACTACTTAGTACTGTTTTATTTTGAGTCCATTGTTTTTGGTAAACGAACATTTGGGTTCAAAGAGGCACCAGAAAAAGAGGTTACAACTGGAGACAGCGAAATTTTTCAGGATGGCAGACGAAAATTAAAAATAAATGAAATGAAATATCGGAGAAGGAAAGTTAATTTTACCGGGCAGTTAAAACTTAAAGTTGTCACACAATTTTGTATACTACAATTTCGGGACTTACAGAATATAGTGGTAATGTTGAAGCTGATTTGTCATCCTTGCTTAAAAAAAAACACGGCGAGCAAAAACAAAGTGCTAATGATTAAGGTATAACTTAAAATTGTATCAATAGCATGAGGATTAAAACAAAAGTCCTTAGTAGGGAAAATTGAATGTTGACAAAAAAAAAACAGGCACCTACCACAGTGGAAAAAAAAGGTAATGATAAACCTAAATAATGGGTCAGTTCAAATGATTGTCCGCCATTCGAAAAGAAAAATGTTCACAGTTAGCCAGAGAAAAGCAGACAAAGAAACAGCTTTTGTGTGATTGTAATAGATCAATTTTTCAATAGCGGCCTTTTTGGATCAATATTTTCGTTTTCCGGTTCAAAATATTTTTAAAAAACCGTATTGCGAACCCATTAACTCAAAGTCAAGAAAGTATCATCATTTATTTTACATCTCTTATTTTTAAGTCCCTCTTTTTTTTTTAAAGCTGCTCTTTGATTTTATTAATGGTTCTTTTTTATTTAATTTCAATCAACAAATCAAAAATCATGAACAATGACAAGGAAAATAAATCAACAGCA